TTTATATATTAACATAAAATATAATAAGAAATTTTCTAATATATGAAGTACTGGGTGACTATAAATAATTGTCTAAAGTTCTAAAAGTTTTCAAAATATATGTTGAGAAATAGAGAGATATTGGAAAGAGAAAAGAGATATTGATACAATGGTTGTTTTGACTTCTTCTTTGGTTTTTGATGATCTTTAAAAAATTTTAGTAAGAATGAAGTTCTTAATGATTCACTTTTGCGAAGCACGTAACATCAATAAGGCTGGTTTGCTAATGAGTATCAAATTATTACTTATTGGTCAAAAGGTATGAAAAAAATTATTTAGATATTATCTATATTTATAAAAAATTGAGGATATAAACCATGAGGGCGTCCACGTAGAATTTAAGTCTTTCAATCATATCCTGACACATAAGTTTTTTGATTTGTTATTTTTAAAATGTTAATGTTACTAAACAAAATATGTATAAGGGAAACTTAAAATATTAAAACATTATATATAATTTAATTTTAACATTAAAATAACAAATTATCTTATTAATATTTCTGAAATATTCAATATAACTATAACGACCACATAGGAATTAAGTCTTCAAATCATATCATGACACATAAGTGTTTTGATTTGTTATTTTNTATAACTATAACGACCACATAGGAATTAAGTCTTCAAATCATATCATGACACATAAGTGTTTTGATTTGTTATTTTTAAAAATGTTAATGTTACTAAACAAAAATAATAATAAATATGTATAAGGGAAACTTAAAAAAGCAAAACAATATATATAATTTAATTTTAACATTTGTATATTTTCGAAATTAATTAAAATAACAAATTATCTTAACTTTACTATTTCTGTAAAAGTCAATTTAAAAAAATTATTAATTTCAAAACAAAATATAAATCAATATCAAATATGGCAAACTTACAAAAATAAAACATAAAATAATTTCGAAATTAACATAAAATAATAAGTCAAATAATTATCTTAATTTTGCTATTTCTTAAAAAATGAATAGTAATATATATATACACTATATAAAATTGAGGTTATAAGCCATTAAAAACTTTCACATAGAATTTAAAAAAACCAATCATATCATGATACATAATTTTTTTATTTGTTATTTTAAAAAATATTAATGTTGCCAAAACAATAATTTCAAAATAAAAATTAAATATGTATCAGGTAAACTTACAAAAAGTAAAAACATTATATATAAGTTAACTTTACTATATTACAGATTTGTGAAATTAACATTAAAATAACTAATTATCTTAATTTTGATATTTCTTAGAAAAAGTCAATATTACAAAAATGATCTATTTCAATATAAA